GACAGCAGAGCAACACACAGCCCACCTCCAGTATTTTTACACATGGCTTGCCACGAACTTAGACAGTCTACATTTTTAACTGACATTCAAACGCAGTCGAGAGCCTATAAACCCGATTTGGCGCAATAATTTGTTACATCTGTAAAAATGGCTTCTTTATTATTGACAACCTGAGGATGTTTGCTGGTGATATTGTTGATAAATTCCACAGCGGCTATGTGTTCTTCATTGTTAAGGTGCTCTCCCAGGAAACAGGGGTCCAAGAGATTCGCGGCAAAATGCATTAGTTCAAGAGCCATAGGTTTTTAATTTTGTAAGGCGGGGAAGCATTTTTTTCTTCTAATTTAAGAATAGGCATACTTGATACACTTTCGTTAAATTTTTGCTCAATGTCTTGAATTTTGAAAGAAATTTTGCAAAAAATTGATTTTTAATGTTTTTTTTTTTTTTTTTTTTGGAAATTTCTGAAATTTCCTTCAAAATTCGAATGGAAATATTCGCTACCAACATCACTAATCATACGTATAGTTATTCTCTCCCTGGATATACTATACTTTCAAAAAAATTCAAACAAAAAAAAAAGTTTTATAATTTTTTTTTTGAAAAAAAAAAAAAAAAAAATGATTTTTTTTTAATTTTTGTTTCTTCTCCGAAAGACCGTCATCAACTTTATTTTCTATTCTGACTCGATTATGTATTTCTAAAAGAAACTAGAATTTATTATTCCTGTCACCGTGTGTAGGTCGACATGATAAAACTAGGAAGTCGGGACATCAAATATTAATCCAGACGAATATCGAACTTTGCAAGATAGCTTTACGGAAATTTTGACGATATTAAGTTAGGAACCATGGGGCCAAAAAATTTTCGGCTGGTGTTCCAAACCTGTTTTTTAAATGTAAATAAATATTGTTTTTTCCATAGCAATTGTTAAAATTAATTGATATCTATTAAAAAATAGTAGATAAAATAGCAATTTTTAACCGCAACGGTAGATTAAATGATACTTTAACAGTCAGGATTGGTTAAAAACTTCTTAATTTTTCTCGCATGTTTTTTAATTGCTCCATTTTTGAAAAATTTCATTTCTTTCATAAGTTATTCGGGATTTAAATGAAAGTAGTTTGGATGGCGTTGTCGCCTCAGCCTCGAATATCTGCTGGTAATTTACTTATTTCTGTTTGACATTGCTCCAATTCAATCATCAGCAATCGACACGAAAGAGAAAAAAATACAAAAAAAAATATTGACTAAAAACTGACAACTAAAGAGACAGCTTTATTTATTTGTCAAATTACAGAGATACCAACGCCAACCCAGCATTGTTTACTCGTAACAAATTCCTGAAATACTTCTGAATATTTTTAAAACGTAACTCGCTATGAAAAAAAAATATTGTTTTACATGGTCGACGATAAATTGCATTATCGTCTCTCCGAAATTAATTTCGCGATTTCATCGTTCCTGAATTAACCTTTTCGGTAGACGATAAAATACCAATCAACTTTACGGTCTTGCGCACAACAATTATTTTTGTATGAATTTTATTTTGACACTGTCAAAAACCTTCAAAGTAAAAGAAGTAGCAACATTGCATTCGTCAAATATTTCGATGACATGCACACCAACTTTCATTGATTTTTCTATACATATTATATCTCCCAAACTAAACTTTGATATTTTTATTATTATATCGTTAAATTAAAATGCGATTTCGAAAAGCCGTTTTAGAACGAGATTTGAGCGCGAACATGTGGGCGTTGGCGTCTGCTTTCTCGTTCGAAACCTATCGAAATAACGACAAATATAATAGGAAAAGAAAAACAATTACGCGCGCTACGTAAAAGGCAAAGTAGGAATAGATCGATCCGCGTCTTAATTGCTCTTTTGGATACACCCGGATCGTGAGAAGATTGATATAAACTCGAAACTAGATCGCTTTAAATGCTAAAGAGCTATAACCATTCGGTAATAATATTAAAAATTCATTGATAAATTCCACTTTTCTTTACACAAGTCAACATACAGACTTGGTTATTCTCTTAGTTATTCTAAATCGGTGCGGTATTGCCACATGTTCCATAAAACAATTTAATAAATAATTAAATACACCAAGAAAGTATTTCGAGTGCTAGCAAGTTCTGGAAAACCTACCCTCGTATAACTAATTCTGAGAATTGCTGAAAATATCAGAGAAACCTTGCCAATTGAATTTCAAGAAAAAGATTTACGATAAAAGAACAGAGTTCCAAAGAGTTTCGAATATATTTCCTAAAATTTGGTCTTAACTTCGATTCGCGAAAAAAAAACCTTTGAAAAATTAAATTTTTGTTTCTGGACATTCTTAATTTTGAGAGTCCAATTTCTGAGGTCGATTATTCGTTATTGTTACTAGCTCTCATTTAATTTTGTAATGTTTTTGTATGTATTGCCTGTTTCAACGTTGGAATTATTTGCCAAACTACTTTCAACTATTTTATAAAACGATTTTATTAAAAAAGAAAAAAAAAAAAATATATTTTTTAAGTTAATTATGGATGAATTTATCGTCATGTCGTCTGTGTTTAATAGTTTTATTGGTTTATTTCAAAAATGAGTAGACCATATGCTTCAATATAGTTGGAGTGACAAGACGATGGGAGA